TCACAGTAATAAAAGCAATAAACGACTAACCGGGCATCTGAGATTTAAATAATAAGCGCAGTGAGACCAATATAAAAGCGCATGCGAATTCGCCAACGGAGACCCTAAACCATGATTAGAAGTTTAATGGTCAAACTTCGCGATCATGCAACGAATCGTGACTCGCGAGAGTTCCCCGAGAGAAAGCGTCTTCTTTTTATTTAGGATACTAATTTTATCAACCTATAGTTTTTTCACGCTAAAGGGCATAGCGGAATAAGCATGTAAAATCTGCCCTCGCACTAATCGAGCTCAAATTGGTGTCATTAGTTGGCACTCCTGAGATGTAAAATTTCTCCAAATATTAGCCTCGAAATTACATTTTTTGGGGAGTTATGGAAGGGGAAAGCTAAATAATAAAAGTGGTTTTCTTTGGAAATGACTGTACCGATTTTAATGAAAAAAATATAAATTGTAAACATTGTTTAGATAAGTTGAAAAAAATTTTTGATATTTTTACGATGAAAACAAAACCATTAAAAAAATTTTTGAATTATTTATGAATTTTTTTGGTGATATTTTGAGTGACCTCTTTTAACCTCATAAAAATAATCTGTAGAGTCTCTACTTTAAAATATATTTTTTTTAAATTGATCGGAGTGGTGGAACATGGTAAAAAAAACAATCATTCGCGCAACGCCATGCCGACTGGGCGACCGCGGCCCCGAGGCGCTGCGGCGCATGGCGGCTGTTGCCATGGTACTATATACTTGTTGCAATATTTAATCACCAAGTAAATTGATAGAAACAAAGATTTTATTATTGTCTACACATTAATTCAGTGAACATTATAATATTGAACATTATAATATAATAATATATAATATTACATATTTCCATTATGGACGTATGCAGTTAGCCTATAAAACTTATAGTTCCTGGAGTTGGTTGCAACCGTGAGGAGGTTGCAGTACGTTTTTAAACTCCATATTTTTGTGGTGCTATTTTAACGTGAGTCCCTTCGCCTCTCACGTTATGTATTTACCATCGGGGTGCTTTTTTAACGTGAGTCCCTCGTCCCTCACATTAACAAACCTCTCACATGAACAGAAGAGAATTAATTAATTCTTCATCATCGTCACTATCACTTTCAATGATTGGAATGGAATTAGGGGAGACCGGGTCTCGTTAGCACAAGAGGTAATTTGGTATTACATTCCGTTTATGTGTGTGTGTATTTGTGGCGAAAGAAACAATGAAAGAGTTACTGCAAAATACCTCTTTTATAACATAGATACTTTTCCTTACATTTTATTTAAATCAAATAAGTATTATAATAAAAAAAGAGAAAAATCTATTAGGTGTACAACTTTGCTTCCACCGTATTTTTTTCCGAAATTCGAGGCTTTATTATAAAAAACTGGTTATAAATTTATGATTCAAAGTATTGTCCATCGCTGGCCACTACTTTCTCCATTTTTCGAGCGTACGAAACCTGCGTCAAAAAAACTTGTCATCTTTTGAGGCGATTCAGGAATCGATCCAAGTTTTTACTTCTTCATAAGACCGGAAGTGCTGGTCAGCTAGGCCGTGTGCCATTGATCGAAACGAGTGATAGTCAAAGGGAGCAATGTCTGGAGAATACGACGGGTGGAGTAGGACTTCCCATTTCAACGTTTCCAGGTATGTCTTGACCACTTTCACAACATGGGGTCGAGCATTGTCATGCTGCAAAATCACTTTATCGTGTCTCTCGTTGTATTGCGGCCGTTTGTCTTTCAATGCTCGGCTCAAACGCAACAATTGCGTTCGATACCCATCTCTTGTTATTGTTTCAGTTGGTTTTAACAGCTCACAATACACTACGCCGAGCTGGTCCCACCAAATACAGAGCATGACCTTGGAGCCGTGAATATTTAGTTTGGCCGTCGACGCGGAAGCATGGCCGGGAATTCCCCATGATTTTCTGCGCTTGGGGTTATCGTAATGAACCAATTTTTCGTCCCCAGTCACAATGCAATGCAGAAATCCCTTCCGTCTTTGCCTTTCAAGCAGCTGTTCACAAGCAAACAAACTCCGTTCAACATCTCTCGGCTTCAACTCGTACGGCACCCAATTTCCTTGCTTTTGAATCATTCCCATGGCTTTGAGGCGTTTTGAAATGGCTTATTGAGTCACTCCCAATGATCGTGCCAATTCTACTTGATTTTGACACGAGTCTTCAAGTAATGCCTCCAATTCTGCATCTTCGAAAACCTTCTCTCTTCCACTGCTATGCCGGTCTTCGGCGTCAAAATCACCGTTCTTGAAGCGTTGAAACCACTCACGACACGTTCTTTCACTAATAGCGGCGTCACCATAAGTATTTGAGAGCATTCGATGAGCCTCAGCTGCAGATTTCTTCATATTGAAGCAGAAAATTAAAACCTCCCGCAAATGACGAGAATTT